ATTGATGTTAAATTAAGGTTAATTTTAGGTTAATTTATGATTGAATTTAAGTTTTAAATTAATGCTAAATAGCTATATTTATTCAGTATTAATCAGTATATATTTATATTAATTGAAAAATATAGCAAATCAGTTATAAATAATATTAAACTTAAAATTAGCCATTTAATTTTTAACTGATTTGAACTATTTTAACTAGTACTATTTAAAATCACAAATGAAAAGATTAAATATTTAAGTGATTTTAAATATGAAGGAACTAAAAGTTTGATTAAAATTGATTGTCTAAATCCATTTTGAATTTGACAAAATATCTAAACTTTAATTTCGTTAATTTTACTAAAATTTTAATATAGTTTCACATTTTTATAAGCTTTAATATAGTTTTACTTTTTACTGAGTATCATAGATTTATTAATAAGTTTTTAATATAATTTTGATAAATTTTACCTTTTGCTATTAAGACAACTTGTAAAACTTCTAATTTTTTCTCAATAACCTTAATTCTGTTAGATTAAATTTTATAGAAATATAATAAATACTATCATATAAATTTATAGATATGTATGTTAATATCTGAAAGATTATTAAGATTAATATTTTTATAATATAATGATTCTTTAATTAAAAGGAGGTAAATATTATTAATTAATGCAAAGAATTTAAAAAAACAAAAGAATAGAAGTTTTGATTTTTATATTTTATCATTTAAAAACAAATTAATGAGGATTATTAAATAATTTTAAAAAAGTAAAATATTAATCAAGTAGAAATAATTAGTGATTTTGAGTCATATTTTGCAAAAAATCTGTTTCAACTAAATAATAATTTTATTAACAAAAACATGAAAAAAGGTAATTTATCTTTATTTTTTTAATATTAAATTAAATTATTTTTACAGTATTGTAAACTGAAATTGGTTTAAAAGTTTTTATATAAGTAAATCACATTTAAAAGGATTTATATGTGAAATATTACCAATTGTAAAATAACTAATCATAAAGGCTAAAAGATTATGATTTAAGGATTGCAACCTGCAGGAATTTCATGAAAACAAGTATGTTATAATTACAATTGAATTCATATGAATTGCTAACAGATAAGAAGCAAACAAAGATGATAAGTAAATGATAAATTGCTGTGTATAATTTTTATTTTTATATAAATTTTGCTTTATAAAATTTCTGACAACTTTTAATTTTTTAGGAACTAACATTGCTAGTATTAAAAATATAGAAAAAAAATGAAGAACCTTATGATGGTTTCACAACTGTTAAAGAAGGTATATTAAATATTTAGCATAATTTAAATTAGTAATTTTTCTTCTTTTTTAAATAAATTAGCAACGCAGGCTTCTTCTAAGTCTCCTTTGAATGAATCCAGAACCTTCTTTATATCATCAACTTTTCAAAATTTAAGCAATAATTCGTTAGAAATTTCTATGAACCCGAAACAACTTTCATCATTAATACAAAGAGATGGATTGACTAATTTTAACATAAAATTAATTTCGCGGGTAATTAATAATTGATGAGATTTAATGTAATTAATCAATATATTGAATGTAATATGTAAAGTATATTACTGTATGTAATTTCTTATCGTTATGATATTGTTACGTCTAATAAATTTATCGGTCCATCATGATCCTATTTGGCTGAATGATAATTGCGCGTTATATATACTGATACTGATGCATTGAGAAAATTTTATGTGCTTATACCAATGAATTTATTATATCTGTGTTATACATGTATTAACTAATTTCTAGCGATACAATATATATATATATATTTTTTACATTATAACAACTGAAGTAAATTATTTATTGTCTTGCATTAAATTATTTCCCTTCATATTGACGACGGAGTCCTTTATATACCAGCTCATCAACCTGAGAAAGTCTTTTCTGCTTCAGTGATGATCGAAGTGAAATCCACTGAAAGAAAGTTCGATTAGCATTTATGTATGAAAACGAAGTGATCATCGAATAACAACTAAATTTACTTACCACACTTGTGGAGCAAGACCACTCTGTGGCTAACTTACAAGCTCCATTTAATCGTCCATAGGCATTATGGAAATACGTTCATTTGATATTCCTATCCTATAATTAGAATAATTAGCATGAGTTGCCGAAATACTTATTCTTGATCAACCCCTGTACTTATCTTTTAGTTAGATTAATTTCGCAATTAATCATCAATTTCAACTGAGGCAAATTCGATCATCAGATTGGCAACAAATGAATCTCACAGCACTACTATATTTTGGAAGTTTCGAGAAAGGAATATATTAACTACGATATGATGATGAGGTAAAATTCGTAAGTATTTATCCGATAAATGTGCATTTGTTGGTTATGATCGTGACTACTTTTCGTTCGCTTGAATCGTTTTACTTGAGCGGATAAAAATTAAATCACTAATCTCACCCAACTTATTTTGATATAGCTTAAGAATCTAATTCGGAACTTTTGAGATCACATAAGGTGACTCACGGCGAAACCTGTAAAGAAATAACTAGAAAAAGACGTTATTATGTAATTACAATAAAATCAACGAGTCCAACCCTTATACTTAGTCCCCACAACGATTAGTTATGAATTCAGGATCTACATCAACCCTGCAAGATATACTGTATCTCGAGCTTTACTTTGTAAGATTAGTAGTTTATCACCCAAATACTCAACACCACACAACAAAATTTATCAACGTTTTTCGACTTTTTTATTAGTCATATGCTAATATTTAGTACATATTACTTTCCATAGAAAAATAAAGATTAAAAAAAAAAATACCTAAAATCATGCCATTTTGCCAATCTTTTATTGATTCTACGTATAAAAAAATAATAAACCAACCAATCATAACTTATTGTCGATACAAAATCGTTTTGCATATGGTTCCCCCCTTGTTCAATGATTTAACTTGGGCTTGTAGACAATGTAGGAGACCACATTTTTTTCTTTTTTCATACCATTTTCAAAATCACAAATGATTTCTCGAGTTATCTCTACTTTTGGAGATTTTAATGTACCATTCCATCGGATGAAACGCCAAGAACAACCTGTTGTCACGATACCAAACATAATTTGTTCAGGATCTGCTTCGGATCGTTTTCGCTTGCCCAACAATGATTCTGCAGCACTGTGAATTTGTACCAGAGTTTGTGCAACACCCTTTCACTTTCATGGGTTACTGTCAACAAGACAGGGATTCTTTGTATACAATCTCGCATATACTTTTTTACCCTTTATTTGTATTTCAAGACCAAGAAAACGTTCGTCTCGATCAATTGAATCAATTATCAAGCCATTGAACTGGAAATTGTTCTCCTCCGTAATATTTCGGGCTAAACCCCTGAGTTCTGGCCCAAACTTTTTTAACTTTTAAATTTACTAAATAAATTTGATTTACTTTTATATAAATAAATGTGGCTAAACTTAACAAATAAATTACAAATTTCGCCTGTGAAATAAGTCCCTCTAAATTTCGCCTTTAAGTTACGCCATTTGTCCTAAACTGCCCAAACTCAAAATATTTCCAAATTTGAGTTTCGCCCGAAACATTATTCCTCCGAGTTGATTTTAGAAACAAAATAAAAATCACAGGTTTGTAACCTGTCGAAGCTTTTAAGAATGGCATCCCGAAGCAAAACCCAAGAGCCACTAGAATGTGGCATCTCATAAACTTCCGGGTTTCGTAAAAACCTATACTTTACTTTAACTGCAGACAAGAAGCTAATGAGGTTATGTATGAAAGTAAAGCGACTATAATACATGTACTTACTTGTGGCATCTGAAAAGGGGTACCTCACAACAAGCGGGCATATATCCGTTGTGACCAAGTTTGTAAGTATTGTCCCATTACGAAGAGGCGTGAGCGTATTATATTCATCGAAAGAAAAAAATTGAATGTCGCTTGGTTCGACTTCTCAAAGTTCATTAAACTCCTCTTTGAGAACGGGCTCAAGGTCGTCTAAATCTGATACGTTGTTTTTCAACTTTACGACGCTTTCTTTTCCCTCAAGTAAAACACATATTGTTACTATTGAACTTGGGGCAAAAGTATCGAACTTGACCCTTCTCTTGACCCTTTTGCCGATTTTATTGTAAAACAATTGTTATTTATATAGTTATCGGCAAGAAGTCAACTTAATACCACAAGGAGGGTCAAGTTCAATACTTTTGCGAACTTTGGGGCTGGATATCGACGTTAGACATGATAATCGCAAAACCAATAAAACAACCAATCTACAAAATGTTTAAACGACGAAATTTTAAAAGTTTGAAAAGTTTGTTACGAGGGAGATTACCGTTATGGTAATTACCAAATACTGATTTGCCAATCACGTGTAGGATTTCCTTAATTGATTTTCGGAGAAATTTTTATTAACGGTCACAGGATTATTATTAATAAAGTTCATTTGAATTTATGTCAAGAATCAACGACGAAAAATGAGACACGCAATTTATTATAAATAATAAAAACTCTTTTTTAATTATTCGTTTATATTATAATATATGTAATTTATTTTGAAAGTTTATATTATATAGCTTAATATGTATATAATTTCAAAAAAATAAAGTTTAAAGATCCTTTACAATTAGTAAATTTTACGTCTCTATATTGTTAAAAAAATGTAAAATAAAATGATAATATTATCTTAAAAAGAATAGAAATTTATATTAAATTATAATATAGCAGGTTTGTTTATTTCATTAGCATTAGTGAAAATTTATATCTCTTAGGTTTTCATTGAAGTTTCAAGAGATGGACCCTCAAAAACTTTTCATTCTTTATATATATCAAATAATTAATATTTTAACGTTAATTTTTTAGGTTAAATCGAAAAACTAACTAAAAATTAGTCCATTATATCGATATCGCTTTACTTATATAGTCACTTATTCTTACGGATCTTACAGATAAGAATGGTAATTAAAAATAGAAGATGCGAGAGGCATTTAGGGATCGTGTCTCCTTTAAGACAAGAATGATAAGTATATGATACAATTAATTTATTGTTCAATAATTATTTTACGCATAAAAAAATTTAATTAATAAATATTTATAAATATTTATTATTAGATGGTCAACAATTCAACACCAGCAATACCTTTGATATTTTTTGTAAACGTTATACGACACATCAATTTTTTGAAATTGTATTCCACTATCGCTATATTTGAAGCTTTTGTGAATTCGCATGGGGTTACATAATAATATTTAGCATTGATAATATAAGAGATTTTTATCATCAGTTCACCGTATTAGCAATAGACAGTGATAAAAATTATGTTAAAGATCAGACAATGCTTTTATCGTAATTATAATATATATATATATAACAAATATTAATAATAACATAAGTTAATTCTCTTTTTTTTTAAAAGAATGATTATTGAATTAGTAAAATTTTAGCAATTTAATATTTAACTTTTATACATTGTTATCAAGATTTTAATAGCGTAATGATAAAATAAATACAATATAATGATAATTATCAGACAATATATTCAATATATTTATTTATTAAATGCGAAATAATAAAATCTTGCATAGTGATACCAAAAAATAAATGATTCAAGAAATCTTTCAAAGTTTTTTTTTAAACTTCTAAAAATAACTGGTACTTTACTAACTAAAACTTTAATCCATTATTGTGTCTGACATTCAGTGATATTTTGTTATATATTAATATCAATATCTGAGGATTCTTTTTTTTTCATTTTGGTTTTGAATTTCAGCATTTTCCTTTTTATCATTATTCTTGTTTCCGTTTTTGTTATTTTTGCTGATAAATTGTATTTGTTATAATATTTTTCATGCGTCATCCACGTGTATTTCATATAATAGTTCTTTTAACATCCTGTTTTTAAATATTATTTAATCTATTTATACTTATTTCATAACAATTAATTAGCTTTTGTAAACCTTGATCTGTGTTTTGTATTGCTTCTTTAAAAAGTTCTAAAGTTGTTAAACTATTAGAATATTCAAAAGCTGATCGCAGTTCAGCAGCTAATTTCCAAATTGCATCTTTTTGAGATTTAATATTATGATAAATTAAAACTGATGAGTTATTGCCAACATATTCATTAAGGAGTAAATTTAATCTATTATGCTCTGATTGAATTGACATAATCTGTAATTTTAAATCATTTATTGATTTTTTTGCTAAACCAATATTTTGTTTGATGAATATCACATCAAATCATTCTAATGCCTCATTGAAAGCAAAAAAGTGTCTAAGATGCATTAAATTAACTGAACAAACATGCCAAAGTATGTCTGAAGTATGTTTTGTAAACTTGCATCTTTTTCAACAGTTGATATAAAATGTGTAACTAATTGTGCATAATTATTTTGACCAGCTATTGGAAAAAGTAGTGCAAAAGCATATAGATTTTGAAATTGAAGATCATAGTTTCTATATCTAATTTCAATTTTATGTCCAATCTAAAAACCCATCTAACAAAAAAATAGATACCAAACTTTTAAAAGATTATAATTACTATTCAAAATATTTTTTATTGTAATTTTTTTATCTTGAATATATTGACTTAATGCTATACCAACTACTATCCATAAATGTTCTAATATGTGATATATAGCTGAATAGTCTATTACTTTCTCTAATTTATCCAAATAACATATATCAAGATATGCTGCTAAATCATAAATTCCATATCCAGAAAATATTGTTAAAAGTGTAACACACATAGCTTTAGAAATATGTTAAACCCCTAATAATAGTCAAATGTTTATTGTAGTTAAATTTAATGTATTTAATCTCCTAAAAATTACTTTATCACATGCTATATCTAAATTTTTAACTCTATTAATGCCAACATCATCATAATACATCCTTATTGTAGCATGTATATTATCCATATTATTAGAATTTTTACCAAGTTCGTGAATTATTACATTTGGTAATTCAATTTGACATCTCATTTCTACATCCTTTCATAATTCTTCATAAACTTGTTTAACTTCAAAATTATTTTCATATAAACTTAAAAGTAAGTTAAAAGTATCTTCATAATTTTGTAATTCATTTTCTACTAAAGTAGAAATACTAACTTGAAAATTATAATTTGTAATCAACTCAGATTCTACTAAAATCTTTAATAAAAGATGAGATGAAATACTATTCTTAAAGTTGCATATATTGTATGTTTTGTAATATTAAAAATATTATTATTGTCAATGGAGCAATTGACCAATCATAATGAAGTCACATGGATGATGCAATATGACAATTTCTTAATCTAAAATTCTAAAAATACTGAAAATTCTGTAAATTCTGAAAATACAGAAG